GCATTGCTAGAGAAGGCAGAAAAGGAAGCTTTATGAAATTTGCTGTTTTCCGTAAGATAAGTGGTCCCGAAGGAATCTCAGAGAGTGGAGAAAACCACTCTTGGTGCTTATTTTTCTCCTGACTCCTCCCTTGCTCACGCTTCCCTTTTCTTCCCTGGGCGAGGTGAGCTCCCCGGAGGTGGCCGGGGCAGGAAGCAGCTGCTCGCTGCAGATGGGGTGCCCTGCCCTCCCCAGTGCTGTGTCGCTGGGGGCCCTGCCCACAGCGTCCAGGCCGGGCAGAGCTCGCGGGAAACATCTTCCAGCGTGCGAGGCTGCGGAGCCGAGCTGGCTGGGTTGGTGTGGTCTGAGCGAGGTGGCCTGGCGCCTTCGGGGTGCCCTGTTGGCATTTTCCCCTGGGAATTCAGCATCTCTGAGCACAAGGCCGTCCCGTGCCAAGCAGCGCGGTGGGCTAAGCCAGCAGTCCCAGACAGGGAGACGTTGCAGGACCAGACTGGAGTTCAGGCCTGTAGAGGGTCTAGGACACACCCTGTCCTTCCCTGTCCCCGGCTCTGCGGGACAGGTCTGTAGGACCGCGGGGGAAGGTTGATGGCTTTGCTCTGCAGGAACCGTCCTCATAACCCGCATCCTGGCTGTGCTGTCTTGCAGGGGCCTGCCGAGCCAAGCCTTCGAGTACATACTGTATAACAAGGGGCTCATGGGGGAGGACTCCTACCCGTACCGGGCCGAGGTATTCCCAGCGCAGTTCAGGCGCAGTGCCGCAGCGGCCGAGCAGGGTCCCGAGCAGGCGCTGACTCCGGCTCCTTTCTGTCTGCACAGAACGGCACGTGCAAGTTCCAGGCGGAGAAGGCTATTGCGTTTGTCAAGGACGTTATCAATATCACGCAGGTAAGGCCCCGAGGGTTAGGTTTCCAAACTTCCAGGGCTGTGCCAGGCTGGAAGGTGCCAGGGTGCCCCGAGGTGTGTCGGGCTCTGTAGGGCAAGCTGCAGCCTGCGCGCTCTGGGGAGCGGAGCGAGCCGCCGGCGTGCACACTCCTCCTCTCCTGCGCGCCGCTGACACCCTGTTCTGAAGGGAGCACCGAGGCAGCGCCGTAGGCAACACGCAGGGTCGCCGCCCGCCTTGCACGGGCTGTACGGAAGTCCTGTCCTTGCCTCCTCTCCTGCGTGCCGCTGACGCCCTGTTCCGAAGGGAGCACCGAGGCAGCACCGTAGGCAACACGCAGGGTTGCCGCCCGCCTTGCACGAGCTGTACGGAAGTCCTGTCCTTGCCTTTCGGGGCAAGCAGCATTCATTTCCTTGTTCGTGCGTGGAAAGCCAGGGTTTGCATCCCCACTGTGCCCCGACTGCGGGGGTCCCGACTGGTGCCCGTGTGGGCGGGAGGTCGGTGACGCCGGGACCCTCTTGCAGTATGACGAGGATGGCATGGTGGAAGCTGTGGGGACGCGCAACCCGGTGAGCTTCGCGTTTGAGGTGACGAGTAACTTCATGCACTACCGAAGAGGAGTCTATGCGAAGTGAGTATTGCTGAACCTGGGAGGTGAGGGGGAGGTGTAGGGCTGGAATCGCACCCCCGTGTCTCCTGCCCTGTGGCACCGACACAGAGACACTGTGTCCTGGCATCTTCCCTGAAACAGAGAACTGCAGACAAACAAACTGAGTGCGCTGACTTCCCGGGGGTGAGAGCGCAGCACAGGCAGGAGGGAACAGTGTGCCTGCAGCACCTTACTGCTCGGAGCCGGCCCGAGCTGCAGTCCAGACTGTGTTTGGAATAAAACTCAGACAGTTAGTGTGCTCGAGAGACCCTCCCGCGGCCCCCCCGGCTGGGGGAAGGCTGTCCCCGGGCCGACGTGTGTGTGTCTATGCTCTGGAGGGTGGCAGGGTCTGCTCAGGCACCTTTGCAGGTCACCACCGTAAGTGGGGGCCCTGCCATCGCCCCGGGGTGGGCAGGGCCCCGAGCGCCTCATGCCGACCCCTCGCTGCGGCTGGGCGTGTGGAGACAGCGAGTGAGTTGGAGAACTGTGGCCTAGCGGGAGGAGGGCCCAAGTGTCGCGTCGGCTCTGCAGCCAAGGCCAGAGGCTGCATAGAAGGGCCATGATGGCATTGTGGAAAGACTGTGGAAGCTGACTGTGGCGGGATAGGTTCCTGTTAGGCAGGAAGAGGGAACAGTGCGTGTTTGGAGAGAACTAGAAAACTACTTGAGGCCTCAGTCACGTGGGGCTGCAGGGAAAATGAGAGTCTAAGCATGAGCGATCTGCCCCCGGGAGCAGCCAGGGAGCGAGGAGGCCGCACCGCACGTCCCAGTGGCTTTGCTGTCGCGATGAAGACCCCTCAGGGTTAACTGCCAGCAACAGGCCGATGGTGAAGGCACTTGTATTCCAGCGGGCGGGATGCGCCAAGGGAGGCTGGCTGTGGATTTGTAGTCTGAGGTAGATGTAAAGTCTGACCGTGTGGAATAAGGTGGTTTCAGCCTTGTGCCCCAGAGCAACTGTTAACAGGTTCTAGGGAAGTAAATCTGTTGTGGGGATTATTGACCTCTCGGTTATCTGCAGTCTGCAAGTGTTTAAAAAGAGGCACTGTCCAGACGGGAGCTTGTGCCCTGTGTAGTTTCGTTTTACGTCACGGGCAGCAGCTTCCACCGAGCGCAGCTGAAAAGCTGGAATTTCAGAGGAAATAAAAGTCCTGTATTTAGACTGAGGAACTCGCAGTTCCCTGTGCAAAGCGTGCGGCAGTTCCCCTGAACCCTAGGGCAGAACAGGCCCTTCCCGGGATGCACTGAGAGCACCTGGTTTTCTCCGGAGGAATTCCTTTTTTCACTGCAGCTCGTTCTTGTGTGACAACGTTGCTGCTACTTTGTAACAAAATGCCCGACCCGGGGGTAGGCAAGCGCCCTGACTTCAGACACGGCGGGTCAATATCTCCTTTCTTGGCTTCCCAACTGGAAGTGCAGGGTATCCGTTAGTTCTTGGTGCGGTGGGAGCGCGGTCAGGGACGCTGGCTGAGCCACGCTGCGTCGCAGGCTGGTTTTTCCCGTAACAGAGCTGTGTTGGTTTCCCTTCCCTTCGCAGCCCACGCTGCGAGCACACTCCGGACAAGGTGAACCATGCTGTCCTCGCCGTGGGGTATGGGGAAGAAAATGGAACTCCTTACTGGATTGTGAAGAACTCCTGGGGCCCGCTGTGGGGCATGGATGGGTAAGGAGGTCCCAGCACTACCGGGGCCGTCACCATCTCCCTGTCCCTGGTAAAAGGACAGTCACGGGTGTGGGATTGCACCTCAGGTGGCCCTTACGCTCGTCCTGCTTCCTGCTCTGGGGAAATCCTTTCCAGGGAAGGAGACATGGCTCTGCAAACCAGTCCTGGGGTGACTGGCTAGAGTTGTCCCTGGGGGCCCAGCCAGTGTGTGCAGATCCACCCTACCGCTGGTTCGCCTGGTGACGGGGCAGCTCCCGTGGTGACGTGGCCAGAGAGGGACGGGTTATGCCGGGAGGGGGTTTTCACGCCGGCTCCGCAAGTATTTCCAGCTGCAGGGGAGATCCTTCCCAGTCGGGTGCTGACTGCTGGTTTGTGACAGAAGGGGGAGAGGTGGCACTGCCTGCTTGCTGCTGGTGGGAGCAGCTGTCGCGGGGGTTTGCCCCTTGCGCTGGCAGGAAGGAGCTTCCCCAAAAGGAGCAGTCGCTGTGCACTGCTGTCGGCTGGAGGAGGGACACGCGCTCAGGCACACTTCTTTCTCTTTTTAGGTACTTCCTTATTGAACGTGGCAAGAATATGTGCGGTCTGGCTGCTTGTGCATCTTACCCGGTTCCTCAGGTGTGAGGGAGAGCACGGGCTGGGGAAAGTGGGAACAGACTGGTTGCCTATGAATTCCTCAATGCCGAAATCAACCAAGCGCAAACAAGAGATGAGCCGCTGGAAGTCGTCACCTGCCGGCAGATTCCTCGGCTGGCACGCGGGAGGAAGGCCCGTGCCTCCTCTCCCCAGCCAAAAGCAAGTGTGCTCCTGCCTCGGGAGCCTGACTCCTGCCTTCCCCGGCTGCGTGCCTCGCTCGCCCTGTCCCTGCGCCTCCCCTTGGGGGGGTGGCACTGGGGGGGTTGCTGGGGCGGTGGCAGTGCCACGCAGTTTCCGGATTTGAAGACGCTGCCCCGACGAAGTTTGCTCCTTCCTTCAGGCGCCCGTTTCTCAATCAACAGATCAAACTTTAATTTTCTCTGAAGATTTTTTCTGTCTCTAGAGAAGGATGAGTGCTGTGATTTCTGTCTGGCCTATTTTCATTCACTTTTTACTATTTTTTTGTATTAAAAAGAAAAGTATTTTAATGCAGAAGAAATAATGGAAAAGAAATGGATGATTTTCTTTTGTGAATCCGTGAAGTGAGCAGGAAGCTTATAGTTCATGAATGCCTGTTCACCTTGGCTGGTGAGCCAAGGCCGTGC